GTAGGTGCCAAATCCGTAGAAAGCCAGTCCGATCACTAGCCAGGTGCCAGTAACGATGAGTCCGACGGGGAAAATCATGAGTTGGACGCCGGGAAGCACAAAGGCGACGGTTCCATTCTTGAGGCCAGCAACCATGTCGTCGACGGCGGCCTGGGCCATGGCAACGTCGGAGCGGACGATTTCCTTGGAGAAGACGCCAGTAATGAAAGACGCCTCGTTCGATGAAACATTCGTGCTGACAGACTGCCCGGCGGCGTTGACACCGGTGAGAGTGAGGGTTGGCATGACGAGCGACTCAAGTTGAGACCTATTCATGTTAGCAAAGCACGGTTCCACAAGGGCAGTAAGTAAACGTACATAGACATGGGCGCAACCATTCTGCTCTGGTCAATCTGACCGACGAACAGATACGACTGCAGGGCTTGGGGTGTGACGACACGCTTCTGCAGACCGGTCCAGGGGACTTCAAAGGTCACGTCGCGAGCCATGTCGCGGCGGACGGAGGCCGTTCCAGCAATCTTGTTCGCGCTGACGGGCGACACGGAGGCGCCGTTGAAGGAGAGGCCGACCTGGATGTTTTGCGGCGGGATGCCGGAAAAGGCACCGACAGGATCGGAGACCTTAAATAGGCGCAAGTCGGCCTCGAAAACTCCCGTCTTCGCATCCAGGCTCGGGAGGTTGTAGCAGATACAAGTTCCAGACGGGTTCGACGCAGCGTCGAGATGCGAGAGTGCTGAAGTGCAAGCGGCCGAAGTTTCCGTCTCCCATGCCGTCATGTTGATGGAGCCATCGGCATTGACCTTGACCTCGAGGGCGTTGGGAACCCATTCGGCGTTGATGTCCATACTCTGGCGCTTCTCGATGTACCGGTTTGCGACATCCTCGTAGTTTCGTTCCAACACGTCGACGGCCCTGACCTCAATCGTGGGATCCATAGCCAGCGGACGGATCTCGGCGCACGCGCTGGAGGCCAGCGCGGCGGTGGTTACGGCCACCTTCCAAAACATGGTTGATCGTGATTTCGTGTAGTAGTTTAGAAAAGTAAGCTTAGATGGCGGGCGGCGATCGGGGTGGGATCGTATTAATTGATTGATGAGATTCGGAGCCGAGGAAAGGTGGATCTGGCTGCTAATGTCGGTATGGCGTGGCCAAGGTCTAATTACAAAGTCGGGTCCCGGCCGGCGGCGAAGCGAAGCGAATTGAAAAAAGACGAAGCTACGAAAGAGCGTAAATGAAGTCCACTACCTCGCCAGCCCGGATGAGCGGAGCTGATCGATCGATGAGAGTTGAAGGGAGAGCGGTCGCCGGTGGTTTTGAATTGACGTTAACGACGGGAATCGAATCGAGACGAGTCGTCGTACACGGAGGCGGCGTCGAGTCGGATCGATGTTCAAAAAAAAGGGCGTGGGAATTCGACGGCGAGGAAGGGAAAAGAAGAGAAGGTGGAAAAAAAGGGACCTGCCCGTGATAGGGGAGGATTGCAGTAGTTTGCTGGCTTAGCTGTACTCGGGTTGGTCGCGCGATGGTCAGGTCGACTCGACTCGGAAAGGCGCGAGAGAGAAGAGTCGAGGCAGCAGGAGGGGTGGCGAGGATACAATAAGGGCGGAGATTAAACGTCGATAAACGGGCAGGGCACAGCAGGGCTGGGCCTTTGACAAACAGGAGACGTGTGGGAGGAATTGTGTCATGCAGCGACCATCGTGGTGCCTGACAAGACGGGCAATGGCCTGACACGGTGCGATCCACAGGACAAGTAGCAGGGCTGAGGGGGTGGTTTGGGTTCGAGGACGGGATCGAGGGGTCAGGTCGACAGAGTGGGTTGAAGAGAGGGACGCGAGGCCGTGGCTTGTGAGAGGAAGAGTCCTGGCCTGGAGAAGTTGGTGGTGATGGGTACGAAGAGGGCAGAGCAGAGACTCAGACAGTGGCGGGGTGGTGGTAATCGGACCAGGATTGCTGGGGGTCCGGGAGGATCTGAGGCGTGATATGACTGAAGAAGCAGGGAGGGCACCGTAAGAGTGGGTGGTACGGGATAAGGACGAGGGTGACCTGTGCCGTAAACCGTCTGGTTGTGTTTGCGAAGCTGGACGAGTGGGAAACCGAGTGCGTGGTCTGTGGTTTTGTGAGACGGGAAATGCAACGGGAGACGCGCAGGGACTGTTGAGGTCGTGGGAAACGTGGTAGTGGATGAGGGACGAGCGGCCTGGTTTCCTGTGGATTTCGGTTGATTCGGTGGTTCCTCGCTAGAGACGGAGACGTTGTTGCGAGTTCGAGTTCGCTTGTTGACGGTGACGGTGAGCAGCAGAGTTGTAGTGAACGATGCCAAGTTCAAGTCGAGAGGCGCCGAGGGCAGGGCGATGAGGGAGAAAAGGGCGGCTTGGCTGGTGGAGGGACGGGAAGCAATGGAGAGACTCTGCGAGGTAAGTCGAGGTAAGGTTAGCCGGGGAAGGCGAGGCTAGAGCCGTTTGGGGATAGCGTACCGTGTGTGAGGGAAGGAATAAGCATGGAAGGGGCGTTGTAACTTGTGGTGCCTGCCTTGCCCCTTTGGATCCCCCTTCCCCCTTCCTGGCATAGGGAAGTCGGCACACTTTCCCTACCTATCTTACAGGAACACATTGCTGGATACATAATACTGCGTACACCTATGCAATACGGCAATACACTACAGAGTATCCGCAATACTGATGGTTTATGAATGGCCACTGCAACTCTGCAGACCCAGACCACAAAAAGAGTACCTTACCTGATGGACTGGCCGCCAGATGGACACCACTGTCCCCCCTCCGTCCCCATCGACCAGTCAAAACAGTGCCACGGCCACCCTCCGCCGCAGAAAGGTTTGCCTGGCGTGCGCTGTGCCTGAGCCTCGTGAGCCTATCCCTTCAACCAGCCCATGGCATTGTCGGATCGACTGGCGATGGAACAAGCGTCGTTCGAGGAAGGGGCAGGGTCGGGCGCTGAAGCAGTTTCTGGCCGATGCCACCCTTTCATTGGATGGCCTCAGCCATCGAGTGGAGCCGCTGGGGTCTCATGTGTGGGGCATCCGATCAGGGGTGCCGGTACTTGTGCTTGTGCATAAACACTCACCAAAACACAAGTACCTGTGATGGTGCGCACACTCGCCGCAGCAGTCGCCCAGCACGCAAGAAACTGCCAACGGTCAGCCAAGGGATTGCTTCTCCAGAAATCCAACCACCCAGAAAAATCCATGAAAAAGAAAGCAGACAGTGACCCAGATCACCAAGTGGCCTCTCGACGAGATTCACCACGCTAAGGTAGTGTACCGCAAGGGAGGGGCTGCTCCTCGGCGCCAACAGCCACCGGTTTTAGGTTTCCAAGCCGCACTGCATATCCGATCCGCCAATGACGACGCACACAGGCGGATAGAGGCCTCAGCGGTGTGGCGACGGCGCCTACGAGTGTCTTTTTCTGTTCTCCTAGGAACAACTGCAATGGCGATGACTGAATCAGTGGTCATATCCGAACCTGACTTGCTGACCTCAGAAGCTAGAAAGGCAGCTCGAGAGATCAACCCACAACAGTCCGAGATGGCCGCATCATCGTCCCTTTCCTCCAGCCGTCAAAACTGACAAACCACCGGTAATCAATCACTCATCCTGATCCAGTGCCTCTCGCCGACGAGCCCTGCACTGCAGAGCTGAGAGAGGCTCACAGAATCAAACCTCTTGCTGCCGCGCGCGGCGCCTGCAGGCAGCGGCCCTTGTCTCAGGTGAAACGGAGGACCAGGGCGAACCAGGCAAGCCAGGCCTGCTGCTCCTCGTGTGAACGGGCCCATCTGCTGCTTAAGATGCCTGCTTGGGATGCCCGGACATCACTGCTGCAGATTGAGGACCCACTATAAACGCCCCGGCGCGCTGTGAGTGGACCATGACCAAAGAACAGCGTCTGGACTCGCGCCTCTTCCGAGGACCAAGGAGAAAGAGAAACGGTCGCACCAGCCACAGACGCCTCGGATTACCTCATCAGCACCATCTCACCAGCCACATTCCCTCCCGTTGGGTGCTTCCTCATCGACCCTCGTTCGGTTCTTCACGTTTCGCATCCTGACCGCCATCCCCTGCTTTTCCATTTTAACCTCCTGTCACCAAAAGCTTGGCCTCTTCTCGTCTGAACCCTGGCTTGCCCGGCTCGTCAATTTCGATTGTCCACGTCGCTGCGCCCATTGGGCCATTGGCGCATGCCCATGATGATATGGACCCCTGACCAGCAAGATGCAGCCAGCCCTGCCTGCGCAGCCTCAATAATGGGTTCGTGACATTGGGGTCCCAAAGTCGGGTCCCGAACGTCTGTGAATTTGAATCGGTCGATCGCACTTAATCAAAAACATTCATACCCCCCACGATCCGTCGACATCTGCCGGACGAACAGGCAAACACACAAACACTTTGCTCGACTTCAACGCCCACGAGAGACAGCGAGAGCGAAAACACCATCGCCAACACAAACACTGGGCCACCGCCAATGTCTGGCCCGCCCGCGAAACATCGTCACACAGCTGGGTCCGTTGGTGCGACCTGTTTCGGGATCCCGGCGCCGCCTCGCGAACTGCTCTCATCGCGGCTCCTGCTCCCACCTTCCGGCCTTCTCAGCGCTACAGCAACCCTGGCGATAGCGATAGTCGTCGCATTAAGGTGGCAGTACCGTCACCTGCCGGCGGTCCTCTGCACAGTTGCAACCGTCGCATCCTCGGTGCCTCACGGATCTACAATGACGCGGCCAGCAAGGGAACTGGCTGTCACGGCAAGCGCCGGTGACATTGTCACTTGTCACTTGCACGAGAACGGAGTTTGTTGAAGCTTCGTTAATCCATTCTGACTGATTGACCGCCAGGGGCTTATTCGCTAAAAAATGCAGACGCTGTCAAACATTCGCCAAACACCGGCACCAAGCCACAATCCTGCGATATGCTCAATCGCCCTATCTCACCGGAATGAACGCCACACCCTTTGCAACCCTTGAGTGTCCTCTATCATCATCTCCAATCATGACGTTGATTGCGCCGAGACTTGCGGCAGTTTGCTCTTGAACCACAGCATCGCCTCGGTGAAGGCAAGGTAGATGCCCGTGAGGCACCAGCAAATCATGACGACGGAGAAGCCGCCGGCCAGCTTGGCGTCCACTATCCTTCCCACGAGGACGTCTCGGAGGGCGCTGTTCATGAGCAGCCAGCTGTACATCGGAATCAGCTGGCTGATGGCGTTGGACGCCGAACGCTGGTGGACAAGTTGAGCCCGCTCCCGCTCCCGCTCCTGGATCGTGTCCGCCATCCGCCAGGCCACCTGGTTGTTGATCTTGGCCCAGGACGCCTGGCAGGCCATCTCCCGCGCCTCTGCCGCCATGGCCTGACGGCAGTCCCTGTCCTTGGCGAGGTGCATGACCTTCTCGACGAAGCCGTCGAGGTCGTCGGGAGGCACGAGGTATCCGCAGCGGCCGTGTTGGATGATGTCACTCGGACCGCCCTCATCTCTGGCCACCACGGGCACGCCCGATGCCATGGACTCAAGGACGACGAGGCCAAAGGTCTCGGTGACGGAGCAGTGGAGGAAGATGTCTCCGGAGGCATATGCGGTGGCGAGGTCGTCGCCGGTCTTGAACCCGGCGAAGATGACCTTGCCCTGCTCCCGCAGCGGGTCGAACATCTTGTGGACCTCGCGCTCGACGTCGGGGTTGCGGTTGCCGCCAACAACATACAGCTTGAACGCCAGACCGCGGGCGTCCAGCTCCTTGACGGTCTTGGCCAGGAAGCCGAACCCCTTTTCGCCGGCCACTCTGGATACGCAGATGAGAATGATCTCCCCATTGGGCGCAATCTCCCTGCGCAGGGCCTCGCTCCGCATCTCCGGCCGGAAGAGCTCCGTGTTGACGCCGCGCTGCAGGAGCTCCATCTTGGAGGCCTGCACCCCCTGCGCCTCGAGATACCTCTGCACGAAGCGCGAAGGGTAGAAGACGGTCTTGATGGACTCGTGCCTGAACAGGAAGGACTGCACCATAGAGAAGGCGAAGACGGCAAACGTGCTGAAGGGGTGAGGGAAGAGAATGGCGCAGTAGCCGGCCAGGTCGGTCTGAAAGTTGCAGATGACGGGCACGCGCTTCTCCCTCGGCTGTTGCTGGAGCTGTAGCATCACCTGGAAGCCCAGCGATGCGGGCGAGGCCAGGTATATCAGGTCGGGCGGGGTGTCTGAGCCGAAGGTCCGCGAGAAGAGGGCGGAGACGCGGACGGGGTAGACGACGGAGAGCTCGGGGTTGAAGGGCAGCGGGTAGCCCTGGAGGCGGACCTCAAGCTGAGTGTCTGCTGTTGTTGCTGTTGGTGAGAATGTGTTGTGCTTGGTGTGGTTGTGCGGCGCGACAACGGCGACGAGTGCGCCCTGGGAGCGCAGGTGCTCAACGAGCATCAGGGTTGTCCTGCTGACGCCGTTGACGGGGCCGAAGGACTCTGTGCAGAGCAAGATGCGCTTTCCGCGCAATGACGGCGGGAAGACGGCGTTATCGTGAGGCGGGTATCGTGGCATGATGCCGTGAGCTCGGGGGAGAAGGGGTTGTCGTTCCATGACGGCTGGTGAGAGCCTATACACTGTTGCAAAAGTCAGTCTTGGGTTGTGAGCTGCAATCCATTCTGAATGCTTACCAAAAGTTGTCTCAAGCCTTTCCCGCTGAAGATTCCTAGCCGTAAAGCGCCTGAAGGGTTCTCGTGAGAATCCGAAAGAGTTCACACAGTTTGGAGGCAGAACATGGATCGAGTGCTCCCAAGCGCGACGGCCACACGCCTTGGGCGCTTGGCTCCATGATATCTTCGCAACGAGACATGACAAACAGCAAAGGCTAGACTGCAATTGCAATGGAGGACTTGGGAAGAGTCCCCGTGATGTGCGGTGTCGGAGGGGCGCCACGAGGTTCGCAGATTTGCATTCCGCATTCCTCGACGGCGCACTTCAGCCTGTAAATGCAGCTTCTCAGGCCACATGGGGAGCTTCGATGGCCTGCAGTGACGCTGCTGCGGTGGTTGGGGCGGGGCACTCGCTGCGAGCGGCGTTGTCTTAGCGTGTCCAAGGTTGTGTCTGCAGGGTCCAGAAGCCAATTCCGGGCTGCAAGGTACCTGAGTGTGGATGAAAGCGGCCATCGATCATGACGAGCAACCAACCAAGCAATCTTTGTACACACTTCACGATGCCATGGACTACTTGATTCGCCTTTACGATGATCGATACATGGCGTTTCTGTTTGTGTTGATTGCCGCCTTTATTCACATGGAGCTGGCTCTTCACTCTGCCCACTCGTTGACAGAAACTGTACATACATCCATGTCTACGTCTCCCATCAGCATCATCATTATGTCGGGATATGCCGTGTCGCCTTCTCACAATCCCAGGCGCACCAAAAGAGTCATGCAGTCGATGAAGCACGGTAAATTCCCGCATCACGTTCCCTTCCATGCCCCAGGTTTCCTTCTGCATCAAAGTCACGAAAAGAGAAAAGAGAGGCCGGGACCACCCACGATGCCCAGGTCAGCAGCCAATGAGAGCGGCAGAAGCCGGCACATTGCGACTCCGCTGGACGAGAGCCAATCGATAAGACGACGGCCGCACAGGAACTTCCCAATGGCAAACAAAAAAAACTGCGTTTCGTGCCGCATGACCAGGTGGTTCTCGATTACCTACAGAGTGATGGGGGAAGCACGAATGGCGGCCCGCATCTGGATGCCCGTGGTCTCGCCGGTTGGGTACCGTTCGTTGAGGTGGCCCCGGCTGTCCACAAGATCGAGAGCGGACATTGGGTTTTTGAGTTGAATCCTCGACTGCGAATCATCACGAGCATGGGTGCTTATGTCGATACCCATGTGTTGGAGGGGTAGCGCAACGAGGGGCAATGTGACGGCAAAAGATACCGATTCTGACCGAAGACTGCGCACAGGGTGTGGTAGAGTATGCTCTTATTGAGTGTCGTCGCGAAGGGCGGCAGTACGACGATGCTGTCTGCATCATGGCTCTTGGTGACGCACCTAGTTTAGCATCCATCTGAGAGGTGATGACATCTACACAGGCGTCACATTGGCATCAAATATCGACCTGAACTGCCGCCTCTTGTTGTGAAGCACCGCGCTGAGCAGCCTCACCTCGCTCCAAGAACGCTCAGACAAGCATCGCCAACCAGTCTAACGCGTCCTCACCGCGACGCTCAAGAGCAACGTCATCGTCACGATACAGCAATTTAACAGCTTCTCCAACAATTCTGCAATCCTACTTCTTCTTCACCTCCCTGACTCGACCCTTCAAAAGTCGCTGCCATAAATACTGACCCTCCGCCCTCTCCCCCTTTCCTCGCCGCGATATCCGAAGCTTCAACGTCGGAACACGGCAAACACCCCCAATACCAAGAGAGTCCAATAGTGCTTGTTCATGCGCTTGCTTGGTGGTTTACGCGCGTCAAGCTACCCATAATCACACTTGTCCCACGTTTATCATCATCGGACGGACCAAAAGCCACGTCAGATCGCTCACCTACGAGAACCAGTTCGTTGCCGCACGGCCGTTGTCCAACGTCGACCTTTCCCGAAGCGGTTGGTGAAACGAACACCCTCATATCGGACGGTTTGATTGAAGCTCATCATCGTCGAGACCGTTTGCTCTACGTTCGGGCATTTCTTCAGTCCGCTTGGGTAGAAAAGGGATTGGCTTTCCTTGAACCTTTTGGTTTCTCGATTTTGGGTTTAGTTGTTACTGGACGGCAGCACCAACAACTTTCACGATGATGGCGGAAGGTTATGTCACGTTTGCCTCGGTGGATGAAGCAGCGGACGAGAGCGCTGGGTTCCGCGAACCTTCGACGGTGCCCACAACTCCGGATGGGAGCTGCACGTTTAGCCCCGTGCTCAGGTACGCACACGAGGCGGACTGCGATGAAAGCGTCGACGGGGAGAGGTTTACCGCGTTGGAGAACAAAGGGCTCGAAGGACGGCCGGGTCTAAGCAGCACCACACAGAACCCCGTCCGCAACATCTGCTGCGTGGGAGCGGGATACGTCGGTGAGAATATTTCAAACCCTTCACGATACAGAGTCATCACTAACAGCATGTCCCAGGCGGACCAACAGCCGCAGTCATCGCGTTCCAAAACCCGCACATCCGCGTCACCGTCGTCGACCGCGACGAACGGCGCATCCGCCGGTGGAACTCCAAACACCCGCCCATCTACGAGCCCGGGCTGCGCGACATTGTGAGAGTCGCCAGGGACGGCGCGAGGGAATGCGCCTTTGCCAGCGAGCCCACCGCCAAGAACACCACCACCGCCGCCTCGTCAGCGACGTCCGAGTGCGGGAGCCAGTGCGGCGGCGACGATGGCCCCCTCACCGTCGTCCCTGCGCGCGCGCCGAACCTCTTCTTCACGACGCGCGTCTCAGAGAGCATAGCGCAGGCGGACATCATCCTCGTGGCCGTGAACACGCCCACCAAGACCCGCGGCCACGGCGCGGGCAGCGCGACGGACATGACGGCGTTCGAGGCCGTCACCGCCGAGGTCGCGCGCCACGCGAGACCCGGCGCGATCGTGGTTGAGAAGTCGACCGTGCCGTGCCGCACCGCGCACCTCGTCCGCGAGACGCTCGCCGTCCACCGCCCCGGGGTGCACTTTGAGATCCTCTCCAACCCGGAGTTCCTCGCGGCCGGGACAGCCGTGAATGACCTCCTCCGGCCGGACCGCGTGCTCATCGGCTCCGAGACGACGCCCTCGGGCAAGCGCGCCGCGGCGGCGTTGGCGGGCGTCTACGCTGCCTGGGTGCCGCGCGCGCGCATCCTGACGACGAACGTGTGGTCATCCGAGCTGGCCAAGCTCGTGGCGAACTCGATGCTCGCGCAGCGCATTAGCAGCATCAACTCCATCAGCGCCATCTGCGAGCGCACCGGCGCGGACGTGGACGAAGTCGCGCGCTCGGTGGGCTGCGACCCGCGCATCGGCGACCGCTTCCTCAAGGCGGGCATCGGCTTCGGGGGCAGCTGCTTCAAGAAGGACATCCTGAGCCTGGTGTACCTCGCCGAGAGTTTGGATTTAGACGAGGTCGCGGAGTACTGGCTGCAGGTGGTCAAGATGAACGAGTACGCGCGGGAGCGGTTCACGCGGCGGGTGGTCAAGTGTCTGAACAACACGCTGGCGGGGAAGAAGATCACGGTGCTGGGGTACGCGTTCAAGAAGAACACGAGCGACACGCGGGAGGCGCCGGCGCTGGAGATCATACGCGCGCTGCTGGAGGAGGCACCGCGGGAGATTGCGGTGTTTGACCCGTGCTGCAACCCGCTGGTGATCAAGGAGGAGATCAGGCAGTTGTGCGGGGAGCTGAAGCCGCTCAGGGAGGATGGCGGGCCGTTGGCTATCTACGGGGACGCGTATGAGGCGTGTGAGGGGAGTATGGCGGTGCTCATCACGACGGAGTTTGACGAGTTCCGGAACAAGGCGCCGGCTCCGAGCACCGCGCCCCCGACAACCAACGTCCAGCAGCGGGTTGATGTTGACCCGCGGCCGTTCCAGAGCCTCGAGGTCGCGCAGTCCGACGTGCTGGCGCTGCACAGGTTCCTCAGCCGGCGGCAGTCTTCAGACGACCCGCTGGAGCGTTACGAAGCTGAGCCCGAGTGTGCGTCCGACTGCCCGGACTGCGAGGCGGAGGCGGCCAGCGAGGTGTCGGGGTTTGCCACGGGGATGGGCACGACGGAGGAGTACAGGACCAAGGAGAAGGTGGACTGGGCCAGGGTGGCGAGGGACATGCAGATCCCGAGGTGGGTGTTTGACGGGCGGGGGGTGATTGATGCTGGGGAGATGGCGAAGCTGGGCGTGAGGGTGGAGAGTGTTGGGCGACAGGGACGATCGTGAAGCTGATCGTGCTCTGTGACCGTGACTCTGGGACATTGTGATTTTCTCTTCTCGTCATTTTCTCATCATATACCATCGTCGTGCGGGATAATGGGCCACTCTGGGCCTGGTGGCGGAGGAGACGGGACGGACTTAGCATCGTAGAGTTTAGAGACAACTTCACAAACAAGAACTTGAGTCAAGACACAAAAGCCACGCCTGCCAGCGAGCAACAGGAAAGTGTGAGAGAAGAAAGAGAGAGTGCCGGGGGCGGATGTCGCCGCCGGCACATGGCGACTTGCATCCGCAGTCTGATGCATGCGATGCATCCATCCACTGCACACATTTTCATCCCGTCCCCCGGTACCTGTTTCACGCTACCACGACAGACTTCTCCGACCAAACGAAGGAACCAGTCATATCCGGGCCCCAGGTTCGTCTGAGGATGTGACCAGTTGGAATTGAGACCTCGGGGGGAGGGAAGAGGGAGGGGGGGTTAATATGTGTAGGGCTAGGCGGATCGGCGGCGGCGGTGATGATCAGTCTTTGAAGATCCAAGATATGTGTTCGGGATCATCACCGGCGTTGGGCGAGGTTGAAGTAGGAACCGGAGAATTAATACACCACACATATGATCTTGTCGTGGATTTTCTCCCCAGAATAAGATCGTTTCGCCC